GCAGATTGCGCGGGAAAGATAGCGAAGCATCCGTGGGACGATAAGGAAGCCTTAAACCAACTCTAATTTACATAAATAAAAACTTTCGTTGAACATTTCATTTATTTTAATTTTAACTTCTTTGTGCACCAGCAGACTCTTCTTTTTTAAATTGACAGTAAGACCATGCCACATGCATTGCGGGTGAACTTTGAAAACTTCGGTCACTCTACAAAGAATAAGATTTTTCGACTAGTGAAACTCTTAGCCGATCTGAGTACTAGGCTTTAAGCGAAAACCCCCATGTGTAAACAGGCTTATAAATTGTGTTCGACAGTTCAGACACAACTATCGATATATACTAATAAAACGGGTGCGGGACAAAGAAAAAAATAAAAAGAATATCACGAATCTGACTGCAGGTGTTCTTATTTCAATAGAATTTAAAACGAAAACAATCAATATGTCATAATTTATCTGTGAAGGAACAGTTACCAGACGAAATGGCACTAATGGACATAGAGCTAAAGAAGGTAAACGGGTGACATTTCAATTAAGCTGTGTGTACGAGTGTTCCCCAAATAGCTAATCCAACGCCCACTGTACGAGTATTCGTCAACAGGCCTTTACTGAAATGCAGATCAACTAACTGGAAACCACCAAGAAGATCAACATGATCGACATGAAGTGCGACATGGTCAAAACGGGCAAGCACAAGTACCAGCTTACTGAGAAGGGCACTAGCAGTCTTTCCGAACACGCAAGGTAAATATAACTTGGATGTAAATCATCTTCAGATGGCTTTTTAACTATTCCTTTCTAGAGTTTACCAGTCCGTTGGCCGCATGTTCCTGCTGACGAATGTGCAGTACATGCGCGAAGATCTAAAGGCCAAACAAGAAAAGTGCGACAAGGCGATAGAACTACTAGAAAAAAAGAAGACCTTCCTACAGAAGTCCCTCAAGGATGAAGAAGACGGACTGCGTGAACTCGTGAAGCAGCGTAAGGGGGCCGACCTGGTTGCGAAATAAATTCTAACTCGGCATTTATACCTCAATGCAATTGCTTATTTATTTTCAACATATTCGTCTAAATTGAAATTAGCGTAGCTCACGAACGAGTTTCCCAGATTACGCTCGTGTTCAGGTCGGAAGGCGCACTTAAAAACGGGCAGGCCGCTAGTGAGCCAGGGTTCCGCCACCTCCCCAGAGCAAAGAATTATCTTGCACTCAGACGGGTTCCGCTGCAGCCTGGTGATTATTTCACAAGTTTTGAGTGTACACTCCTGAGACAGGAAGGGCGGATCGGCAACGATTATGTCATACTGGTGGTGATGCTCTTTGAGGTAGTTCGGGTTGCCTTTTACGCAGTTTAGGTCGTAGAGCACAAAGTCCGTGCCGTAGGCTCCAAATCTTGGATCGTACTCAAAGATGCGGACTAAATAGGCACGAAATCATCATTGGGCATAGGCATTTAATCTGTTTGCTTACCATTGTCATGGATGTTTCTTATGTCCTTGTAAAGTGATGGACATGATAGGAGAGCAATATGAAAATCTCCCAAATCAGCCTTTTGTTCCGCCAATAGCTTATGCACAACATCGCGCAGAGTATGTTTAGTTTTCGCACTGTACCAAAACTGACTCAGTTGCTGCAAGCAGGAAAAGTCAGCATATATTTAATGTACTTATAGGGTTTCTTGCCCAATCTTCCTCGAATTGAGCATCCATTCCGGCCTGGTTAACAATTTGATATTCCTCCTCGGCTTTGCGCTTGGATCGCGCCGACAGGAATTCGTTAAGAATAGCCAACGTGTCGGCAGGGAGCAAAATGTCCTCGTCCATTATGATATTTTTAGCTATCCCAGTCAAAATAAACCTAACTGTGCGTTTGTTGAACTAGAGGTGAAAATTTGACGATACTTTAGACAGTTAGGGTATTCCGTTACTGCGGAATTATTTATATTTAATTGCGGAATTATTTATTTTACCTCTTTATCAGCAGCTTCATACAAACTCTAATTTTAAATCAGGACTTTAAGCAATTCAATAACCTCGACTCCAACCTTAGTTCATTAAAAAGCCACGGCAGCTCTGAAACATAGTACCACCAATAAGCATGATTCAGTTTAAAAATAAGCAAGGAAGAATATATTTATTTGGTTTCATCTTAAGAATTATACCCGTTACTCGTAGAGTAAAAGGGTATACTAGATTCGTCGGAAAGTATGTAACAGGCAGAAGGAAGCGTTTCCGACCCCATAAAGTATATATATTCTTGATCTAGATCACTAGCCGAGTCGATCTAGCCATGTCCGTCCGGATGAACGCTGAGATCTCGAAAACTATAAGAGCTAGGCTATTGGCATTATTTGGCTTGCAGATTCCTGAGCTTCTTACGCAGCGCAAGTTTGTTTCAGCAGCGTGCCACGCTCACTCTAACGCCCAATAACCGCCCAAAACTGTGGCTCCTACAGTTTTGATGCGAGACTAAATATTTTATCTATCTATCGATTGACCCAAAAAAAGTTTGCCTTGCCCACTTTAATGCCCACAAACTTTAAAAAATCGTTAATAATTAATCGCAAGTTGGTTAGGCGAATATGCCACGCCCACTATAACGCCCACAAACCGCCCAAGCCTGTGGCGCCCACAGTTTTCATTCTAGGTAAAAAATGTTTGTACTAAAATGTATTAGTCCCGTCAATACCTATCGATTGATCCAAAAAACATCTGATAGGCATAAGCAAACCATAACTTTACCCTTTTATATTTTTCAAAAAACGAAAAATGGATTGAGATTGATTTCAGATAAATAATGTATGCTTTGGTGAAACAGTTGCCAAGTTTTGCCAGGAAGCACATAAGAACAAGGCTGTTAATATTTTTTAGAAAAATAGCAAAGCAATATTTAAATTCACGATCAAATAAATGTATCTATTTCGAGCCGTTGGAAGGCTCCTTGGTCCTGCACCAACCACAATATCAATACAAACATTTTAAAAATTTTTTAAAATAAATTAATATGACGGTTTGCCGAAAATTGCGATTGAATTTGTTAAGAGTTTTGACTATATTTTGCGCAGAAACCGTTATGGATGTTATTTTTATATGAAAATAATAATTTATGAGTATTTTCAATTGTCTTCAACCAGTAATTTAAAGTTAAAAATAAGCTTAACAAAAGTAGAGCATCGCCATATCCTTGCTTCAGTTGAATGGACATAGTTTTTCTCAAAACAATCATATATAGATGGTATAATACCGTAATTAATATAAGAAATCATTGAGAGCATTCAATACGTTTGACAAAAACGAACACCGCCAAAGATTGAATTTCTTATCCTTTGGGCCGTGGCTCATGGCGTTCTTCGAAATTCACTCGCTAAATCTGGTATTTTTTCTGATATTTCCTTAGCTCATCTGAGTACAGCGCTGAAAAACAGACCCGACGAAAAGCGTTAGCCTAGGCTTAAGCCTAGTACTCAGATCGACGAAAACCGCGAGCTAACCATAGGAGTGAGCGAGAGGCAAATACGCGGCTAAATGTTTTCGTCGGGTCTGTTTTTCAGCGCGGTACTTAGATGAGCTAAGGAAATACTAGAAAAAATAGCAGATTTTGCGAGTGAATTTTCGATGAATGCCGTTAGCCGCGGCCCAAAGAATAAGAAATTTAATCTTTGGCGGTGTTCGTGCAGAAGCGGTGGGAAATTTAAAAATTAAAAATGGGAGAAAAGCTCCAAAAACGGCTAAGGGAGGTCAGTACAGATGAAAAAGGACGCCTAATCCAAGCTGTTGCCCATTGTTGTGGGACTTGACCGACATACCACAACGGGGCAAAACCGCATAATAGTTGAAGCGCTGGAGGAGATCCACTAAAGAAGGAACATGGGACATCGTTCGATCTCCGACGAGCTCTCCATTGAGGACTCCACCTCCACCAGCTACTTGACAGCTAAAGCGGGAGGAGAAAATATGGTCGCCCGCTAAAGGACAGCTGGAGGAGCCATCACCAGCCATTATTGGCCAGCCTATTGGGACTCGGAGCTGGGCTGCAGATTGCGCGATAAGGAAGCCTTAAACAAACTCCAATTTACATAAATAAAAACTTTCGTTGAACATTTCATTTCTTTTAATTTTAACTTCTTTGTGCACCAGCAGACTATTCTTTTTTAAATTGACAGTAAGACCATGCCACATGCATTGCGGGTGAACTTTGAAAACTTCGGTCACTCTACAAAGAATAAGATTTTTCGTCTAGTGAAACTCTTAGCCGATCTGAGTACTAGGCTTTAAGCGAAAACCCCCATGTGTAAACAGGCTTATAAATTGTGTTCGACAGTTCAGACACAACTATCGATATATACTAATAAAACGGGTGCGGGACAAAGAAAAAAATAAAAAGAATATCACGAATCTGACTGCAGGTGTTCTTATTTCAATAGAATTTAAAACGAAAACAATCAATATGTCATAATTTATCTGTGAAGGAACAGTTACCAGACGAAATGGCACTAATGGACATAGAGCTAAAGAAGGTAAACGGGTGACATTTCAATTAAGCTGTGTGTACGAGTGTTCCCCAAATAGCTTATCCAACGCCCACTGTACGAGTATTCGTCAACAGGCCTTTACTGAAATGCAGATCAACAAACTGGAAACCACCAAGAAGATCAACATGATCGACATGATGTGCGACATGGTCGAAACGGGCAAGCACAAGTACCAGCTTACTGAGAAGGGCACTAGCAGTCTTTCCGAACACGCAAGGTTAATATAACTTGGATGTAAATCATCTTCAGATGGCTTGTTAACTATTCCTTTCTAGAGTTTACCAGTCCGTTGGCCGCATGTTCCTGCTGACGAATGTGCAGTACATGCGCGAAGATCTAAAGGCCAAACAAGAAAAGTGCGACAAGGCGATAGAACTACTAGAAAAAAAGAAGACCTTCCTACAGAAGTCCCTCAAGGATAAAGAAGACGGACTGGCCGACCTGGTTGCGAAATAAATTCTAACTCGGCATTTATACCTCAATGCAATTGCTTATTTATTTTCAACATATTCGTCTAAATTGAAATTAGCGTAGCTCACGAACGAGTTTCCCAGATTACGCTCGTGTTCCGGTCGGAAGGCGCACTCCGCCACCTCTCCCTTATCTTGCACTCAGACGGGTTCCGCTGCAGCTTGGTGATTACACTGTACACTCCTGAGACAGGAAGGGCGGATCGGCAACGATTAGGTCATACTGGTGGTGATGCTCTTTGAGGTAGTTCGGGTTGCCTCCTACGCAGTTTAGGTCGTAGAGCACAAAGTCCGTGCCGTAGGCTCCAAGTCTTGGATCGTACTCAAAGATGCGGACTAAATAGGCACGAAATCATCATTGGGCATAGGCATTTAATCTGTTTGCTTACCATTGTCATGGATGTTTCTTATGTCCTTGTAAAGTGATGGACATGATAGGAGAGCAATATGAAAATCTCTCAAGTCAGGCTTTTGTTCCGCCAATAGCTTATGCACAACATCGCACTGTACCAAAACTGACTCAGTTGCTGCAAGCAGGGAAAGTCAGCATATATTTAATGTACTTATAGGGTTTCTTACACAATCTTCATCGAATTGAGCATCCATTCCGGCCTGGTTAAGAATTTTATATTCTTCCTCGGCTTTGCGCTTGGATCGCGCCGACAGGAATTCGTTATTTTTTGTTGAACGTTGATGCACTAAGAGCAGAACAAACAAGTGGCCCGAACGACACCAATCACGTGCTTGTTACGCGCGGGCCCATATGTATTTCGGGCAAATACGGTTCGCGAGGAAGGTACATAGAACAAATAAAGACAGGACTAAACATAGATCAACAAGACTAAAGCAAATGAGCTAAGATTCTAGTTTTTAATACAGGGATAGAAGTTGAGGAACAAATTAAATGATATAGATTGTTATAATTATTAGAAAGAACGCGAAAGGGCTCGTGCTGACTTAAATTAGATGAGCATCGTGGCAAGTTGATAGGATAGTAGTCTCGCATTAGTCTAACAGGAACATTGAAAGTTAGGCGGCTTACCAAACCTACAGAATCAATATCGCCTCTGATAAGATTATTCATTAAACAAGTAAAAACGCTGTAGTCGAGTACCTCGACTATTAGATACTTACTCAGCTAAAGGGACCGAAGGGAAGTGGAGATATGCAAGCAGCAAAGCGAGATTAAAAAGCGCCACCTACCGGCGGTAGACAGATTTAAGCGTTATGGGCGTTAGAGTGGGCGTGGCAAATTTTTTTCGATAGGTATTGAAGAGACCAATACATTTCAGTTAAAATTTTGTATCTAGCATGAAAATTGTGGGCGTCACAGGTTTGGGCGGCTTGTGGGCGTTAAAGTGGGCGTGCGTAAGAAGCTCAAGAATCTGCACACCAATTCTCAATAGCCGAGCTCTTATAGTTTCCGAGATCTCAGCGTTCATCCGGACAGACGGACATGGCTAGATCGACTCGGCTGGTGATCCTGATCAAGAATATATATACTTTATGGGATCGGAATCGCTTCCTTCTGCCTGCTACATACTTTCCGACGAATCTAGTATACCCTTTTACTCTACGAGTAACGTGTATAAATAGTGCCAAGCATAGTTCTACGGTTTACTAGACCAGGCAAATTATGTATGGATCATCAAATTCTTTAGACCAACGCTTTATAAACCCAAAAACACTCATAGCTTTATTTACAGGTGAGGTTATGTGGAAGTCAAATTTAAGTTTAGGATCTAGGAGAACAACTTAATCGTTAACTGAGTATATTCGGCCCAGGGACATGTTCTGAAGAGAGTAACTCATGAAAGTTAGCGTACTCCTATAAAAAGTCATAACGTTGTCCTCAATTTTTTGTTAAATCCATCTATTACAAAAGATGTCAATTCGAGCAGGTTAGTAGTGGTCGATCTTCGCCTAACAAAACCATGTTGACACGGAAATATTAAAGAGGAGCACAAATTTTGCAAATGAGAGGTAATAATGCGTTCAAATGTTTTAGGAATTGCATCTATAGTTCTGAACATTAACTTTCTCAACCTTTTTGTGGAGTGGAATAATAAAAGAATCTTTCCAGATAGTAGGAAAAACAGATGATGAGATAGACAAATGAAACAGTTTAAGAATGGGCTTACAAATAGTTCCGGGACAAAACTTAAGCACACACCCAGCGAGTCCATCTGGCCCCGGAGAATAGGTTGGCGTTATAGTTTCTAAATCACTTAAGAGAGAAAAAATACAATTTGCCCTGTTTAAGTGATTAGGGTAGCTAGAATTAGACCAAGAAACAGAACTATAAGTAGACTGGAAGAATTCAGCAAATAAATCTGCAATTTCGGGATGCGTAGATGGCTCAATAGGGTTAAATCGTACAGATGATGGCAATGCTGAAGACTTTCGCTTAGCATTGACAAAGTTATAAAACTGCCTCGGATCCTTTGAAAATTCAAATTTAAATCGGTTCAAGTACATGGAATAGCAATGACTGTTAAGTACATTAAAATTAGTACGAGCCACCACATATCTTGAAAAAGTTTGTTTTTAGGTTTCTAAGTCCTTGCAGCTGATTGGTAAACCAAGGAGGCCTGTCTAACTTAAGAGGAAAACTATCAGGAACACATTCACAGAAAAAAGAGTTTAGGACACTATAAAAAAGTTCCGTATATAAATTTGTTCAGTTATATTGTGAAATCAAGTTGTTGAGTTTACTAAGTCACATTTACGAAACCATCTACTTTTAGTTTGAGAAAGTAAAGGAGAGAGGGTATCAACGCAGGGAAGACAAATTGTAAGTTCTAATGTGGGATGATACCGGTCTTCTGGCACAACTAGTGGGTCAATTCTAGATACCGTGACTTCTGATAATTCTAACAGTCCGTCAACGAAGTCATGGTCAGATAAAGGGGTAGAGACAAGTGAGTCAGTGGAAGGGGACCAAGAAATGTCAGGGAGATTGAGATCACCCAAAACAATTAAAAGATCCCTTTCGGAAAGATGAGATAGAACAGTTTTTATTGCAGACAAATGTTGTTCATAAATTGTTAAGTCGGATCCAGGTGGAATATAAGAACAAGTTACATAAATAGAAAAAGATTTCAAAGAAACTTTAACACCAACGAATTCTATGTCATTAAGAAAGTAGATTCTCTCTCCCCTACGAGGGGAGCGATCAGTTCTATACGTATTAAAATTTTTGTACAGGACTTCAGAGTCTGATATCTCCGGTATAAGCCAAGTGTCAGTAAAGGCCAGAATGTTTTCAGAAAAGGCAGAGGAGTAAGAATAGCCAATGTGTCGGCAGGGAGCAAAATGTCATCGTTTATTATGATATTATATTGTCTATCGCCTATTATGATATTATATGATATAAACCTAACTGTGCGTTTGTTGAACTAGAGGTGAAAATTTGACGATACTTTAGACAGTTAGGGTATTCCGTTACTGCGGAATTATTTATATTTAATTGCGGAATTATTTATTTTAGCTGTTTATCAGCAATTTCATACAAACTCCAATTTTAAATCAGGACTTTAAGCAATTCAACAACCTCGACCTCAACCTTAGTTCATTAAAAAGCCACGGCAGCTCTGAAACATAGTACCACCAGTAAGCATGATTTAGCTTAAAAATAAGCAAGGAAGAATATATTTATTTAGTTATATCTTAATAATTATACCCGTTACTCATAGAGTAAAAGGGTATACTAGATTCGACGGAAGGTATGTAACAGGCAGAAGAAGGCGTTTCCGACCCCATAAAGTATATATATTCTTGATCAGGATCACTAGCCGAGTCGATCTAGCCATGTCCGTCTGTCTGTCCGTCCGGATGAACGCTGAGATCTCGAAAACTATAAGAGCTAGGCTATTGCCATTATTTGACATGCAGATTCCTGAGCTTCTGACGCAGCGCAAGTTTGTTTCAGCAGGGTGCCACGCTCACTCTAACGCCCAAAACTGTGGCTCCTACAGTTTTGATGCGAGACTAAACATTTTTACCTGAAATGTATTGTTCTTATCAATATCTATCGATTGACCCAAAAAAAAGTTTGCCTTGTCCACTTTAACGCCCACAATCTTAAAGAAATCGTTAATATGATTTATAAATAAATAGGATATCTCGAAAACTATGAAAGATAGAGAATGGGGATTTCTGATTTAGATTCCGTACTCAGGGCAACGCCCACAAACCGCCCACAGCTGTGGCGCCCACAATTTTCATGCTAGGTAAGAAATTTTAACTGAAATGTATTAGTCTCGTCCATACCGATTGACCCAAAAAAAAATTGCAACGGCCACTCTAACCATAACTCGACATAATCAATCTCGCTTTGCTGCTTGCATATCTCCATTTCCCTTATGTCCCTATAACTGAGTAACGGGTATCTGATAGTCAAGGTACTCGACTATAGCGTTTTTTCTTGTTTTAGTCAAAAATCCTTGGACTGTAACTGAAAACTAAATATATAATTATATTTGTTTCGAAAAAGTTGACAATAATTCACAGTTTATTGCTGAAATTTTCTGTTCAATTTGCAACAATTAAGGGAATACCGTGAGTATTTCGCCCCTTTAAATGACGTTCACTCAGATTTCATACCGTAAAAGGTGACAGCGCCTAGAAATTTTCTGGTACAGTCATTAAGCCTAGTACTCAGATCGGCTAAGAGTCTCTTTACTCGAAAAATCTTATTCTTTGTGACCGAAGTTTTGAAAGTTCAACCGCAATGCATGTAGCATGGTCTTACTGTCAGCAGCTGGGTTTGTTGCCATATGGAAAACCAATCAACTGGAGAAATTTAAAAAAGAAGAGTCTGCTGGAGCGCAAAAAAACTAAAATTAAAATAAATGGAATGTTCAACGAATGTTTTTATTTATGTAAATTAGTATTTTCAAGCGTCCTTCTCGTTTCACGGATGCTTCGCCATCTTTCCCCCGCCACAGCAGTCCTGCTCCGAGTCCCAACGGGCATATTGGACCTTGAGAATGTAAGAGCCGGATTTGGAACGGAGTTGATGCGCTTCAAAAATGTCTTAAATGGAAAGCGTACGATCTAGTCCGAGACAAGCTTTTGTTGCCAACCATGGTTCCCGGAGTTATAAGCACATTAAAAAAGTTCTTTGGTCAACCAGATCAACCAGATCTGGATCGCCTTATTGAGAAAGCTAAAAGAATTTTGGTAAACAAGGACAGGTTGGATTCATTTATCGACTACGCCCTTGCTGTTCGCAACATCTGTGCTACCATGGAGGCCTGTCAACTAGATGCACATCTGAACAACCCAATGCTTGTTCGTGAGTTGGTTGACATACTTCCAAATCAATATAAGCTGAACTGGGCAATGCACCCAAAAGATGGATCCATAGCCAATGTAAAAGCATTGAGCGATTGGTTGTATAAGATCGCAGAAGCAGCCTCCACAGTCGTTTAAACCTCATACTTAAGGACGAGTAATGTCCATACTCATACCAGCTACAATGATGTACAGCCGCAACATGCGGAATCGGAGGAGCACCCACACAATTCCTACCGATCTGAGAACTCACCTTGCTTTGTATGCCAAAACGCGCAGCATCCAGTCGCTCAATGTGAACAATTCAAAAACTACACTTACGAAGGAAGGCAACAAGTTGTTCGTGACAACAGGCTCTGTTTCAAAAGCCTGAAAGTTCATGGCCGTAGATGCTCTTTTACTAATGCATGCGGTGTTGGAGGATGTCAATCAAGGCATCATCCCT